AGATCGCAAGGCCACTCTGAAACAGTCCAAGCTACCTTGGGACAGCTCCAGCTCTCACTTCACAGTCACCCTTGTATGCCGCGAGACCCTGCGGGGGCACTCAGAAGGGTGGTTAAAATTGGAACACATTCATCTCAATCCCCTGCCTGCCAGCACTAATGGATGTTGGCCTGTTTTTGGAGAGACAATGAAATCGAAGAAAGACAGGATTTGGGGCCCCTGTGGCGTATGTGGACATGAGTGAAAAATGCAAACACATTTAATTCCTTTGTGCTACCTTGTGTATTATTCATGATACCATTTCAACAACAGCCTCCTCTTAGCCTTGAAAGCAAAGCTCACTACCCAGCATTGTTTCACAGTAGCCCTGATGTGTCAGTTTGCTGCAGAGCAGAATTACTTTTCATTCTGCTCCATCTCCACATTGTCTGCCCTTTATTATAAGCCCCATGTCCAATTTCCTCTACTACAAATAAAAGATCCATCAATATGCTAAAGGTGATTGAATACGGACTCCTAGGCTACCTAGAAACGTGGATGCCTCGCTGGAAATTGAATACAAGTGATTCTAAAGCCCCTTGAATGCTATAACACCTGTAATTATGGTAGGAGCTCTATCTACACATGATAAAACATTTTCTATCGGCAATAGAATTGTGAACCAGGTGAAGAAACGGCCTCATATCCTGTTTACAGTTTTCGTTTCTCTACGTTTGTATGCCTTTCAAACGGCACCCCAGTTCACACATTACTTGTGATGCTTCTCTCTGCCTACCGTCTTTTTCTGCAGAAGAATATCACCCCTCGAGACCACACCTTTATTCTCTGCCTTGAAAAGGAGAAGCTACATCACAAACATAACAGTCTGACACATCTACTCTGCCAATTTGCCGTTCCAGTTTAGGAGAAATCCATCAGAAATGGCAAGCCAAAAAAAAACCCTTTAAAACTTTAATTTCTTCTCGTGTCTCATACTTTTAAGAATTCAGTGAACCAATGTCTACAGGGAGTTTGTGGGATACGGCACAAGCCATCCAGACATTCTATCTAACATTGTACGGTATTGATTGTAGTCTCTTAGAAGCAGCATCAGGAGCAAACTCTAGATTTATATGCAGAGGAAGTGTTGAGGTATGTTCAGTGTTTCCCCTCGAACAGAGGTCATTAGCACATACCTGCAACTGGTGGTTCTATATGTGTAGCAGCACCAAAGAGGTGACAGAAAACAGGAAACCGAGAGGCGTTAAGAGTGTGGCTACGACAGAGAAGGAGGTCCAACAGTTTTGAAGAAATGAATGTTGTAAATCTTTTTCTTTAATCAGTTCCAAACAACATCTAGAACAACTCTCATTGAGGGAGAGAATGCTATTTGAAAATACAAGATAGTTAATGTTTTATCATCACTGCATCCAATTAGCATCAGATTTTTAAGATGCTTGTCATCATGATTAAGCAGTCAACATGAGGAGTCTGCTGAAGAAAACACTTTGTTTAGGCGGGAAGTACAAGGACATGTCAGTGAAGAACTAAATGGATAAAATCATGATCACTGTACAAATTCTTTCTGATATTGACATTCCCTGTCTAAACTGTGAATTCCTTTACGCTCACTCAGTTTTCTGGTTTGTATTGTGTCTGTTTTCATCATATAAATTAAAGTGGCAGTGTGAGAGGACACAAGGCCATAGACTTTAGTCAAGCAAATGCATACCATGTTTCTGACATTACCAAAAGCAGGCACACAGTATACTGTATGTACCTGGAGTGAGCAGGCTTCAAAAGATGAGTGAGCTCCCCATGTTCCATACCAGGAGTTTGGTGGATTCCTCCTGACAAGTAAATGTACATTTCAATAGGCTGTTTCACACCAGAGTGGTACAATTGTACTGTAGAATGTGAAAAAGAACAGACTTTCTGACCTGAGAATGGTTAGAATAGAGAAAGATACTCCACCACAATCCTCCTACATAACTTTCCTAAATGTATTTCTATGACATCCTTTGGGCCCACTTCTACGACTGCCAAAAAAACCTCTACTTTTGGCAGCAACTCGTGCAACCTTGAAATAAAAAACTCAAGCAACACCTGCTACACTATACTTCATTAGTCACTGTGAGGAAATTTGTCCTCTACATTTGACCCATTTAGCAAACAGTGGGCAGCTGTGTTGCAGCCTCAAGGAACCAAGTCAAGCTCTAAGGCCAGTGTGTTAGTCAAGTGAACCCGGTGAAGAACATGTTAGTTATATTAGATAGTTACATGTACGTATTTTACGACGGGAGGAAAACTCCACCCCCACTGAGCCACCTTGCCAGGTTTTGGCCTGTTGCCTTAATCAGATGAAATCGCTGAGCCTTCATTGGTCATCTTTACGATTGCCTCCCTTCTCCACTCACCTTGCAAGTCAGTAAAGTTGTGCCAAAAACATCTGACACAAATATCAACTGTGGCTTAGATACATTTCACCAAGGTGTGTCAAGCATTCCTTTTAATGAATCAACCTGCATCATGTCTTATATACGAACGGTCAACTGATTTCACTGGTTTCCCTCCAAACGCTGCCTTTGATTTACTTCGGATGATTTCACGGCAGCCTCTCCGGTCTCTTCTAGAACAGCTTGATGAATGGGGGCCACTGACGCTAAGCTTCGAACTGAGGGAAAGATATTTGTACAACAGCAGGAGTTTAAGTCGTCCACTCTTGTGTGTGTGTGAGTCTACAAATTATGCAAAGTGATGGCATTTGAGCTCCCTGTATTAGAGTGAAGAGAAACAAATAAAGTGAATGGATAACATGGTGCCCCGGCTGTAATCTAAAGGTCATCACAATATTGTACACGCTTTTTTTTACTGGTGAGCTATAGAGCAAAATTTAAAAAAAGCATATATACTGAATTTATAGTGTATCTGCAGTATAATCTGGCAAACCCAATGAGGAGAACAGTACAAGTTTGATGTGAGACAATGTCCCTGATAAAACTGCTAATGCTATCCACCTCATCAAACATGGAGGCGTGTATCTAATCTCGTAGCCTTGGGGCAGACCTGGAGGCCAGACGGCTGCACACCTTCCTCACCTCGGACCAGGCCAGAGCAATTACTACTGCTGCTTCACACGCAGACCTGTGTCACCAACACAATTAACAAGCTCCGGAGGAGCCTGGGCAACGAGAAATGGGACAGACTGTGTACACAGCATGAATGATGAGAGGCATGAGCAAGGATGGAGAGCGTGGAGGAGACGGAGGGGGAAAACACGAGGGGAGCCAGCCAAGATGACAGGTTTCTTTGAGCGGTTAGTGTGGGCAGACGTCAAACTCATCTCGAGGATTTTAACATAATGTTTTTAGATGTCGTACGCATGCAGACATATTTGTGTCAACAGAGAAATGTTATATTCCTTTTTCGATATTACAATATAGACATATTGTTTTCTCTTCCACGTACCTTTGGGCAGAGATTTTTGGAGAGCGAGCTTCCAAAGGCTATATTTTGCCTCCCACTTCTTTACATTCTATATTCATCCTTTCGGTGAGGATGATTCATCACAGCTGTGACAGAGAGAGTATAATGTGTTACAGCTCCCAGAAGGAACAGCCGTAGGTGTTATCTAGGCGGGATGTTCATTTTATTCAGAGGCACGTTCCATTATCGGCTGGAGGAAACCGAGCATCCCGGCTCCTTTCCACTGCATCCACGCCACCATGATCTTTATCACTTTGCATGCGACCGGTTGCATGTCTCCCCATTGCACCTTTAAGTTTAAACTCTAATCATTATTCTAAACCCTGGTACTGCTGCTCTTTTCATCACAGTACCCCCGTCTTCTTTCCCTATCCTACTCTACAATTCTTTCACTTGTCCAAGTAGGATGCTCAGATGGGAAACGATTGCATGGAAATTAGAGACAGAAGCCCGAAGGTGTCTTTGCTGACTCGGGGATGTAAGAGTGATGGGAGCTGTCTAGCGGAGAGATGGATTCCTTGGCCATCTCGTCTCCACCCAGTCATTGTTCATAAGCTAGGGCTGCCAGACAGCTGTCTGTACCTGCCACGTCTGACAGATGCCCGTTGTCAGTCAGTCTGGAATGGTCCACGATCTGTGGCACCTTCTCGCCGGCTGGATCCCATGTGAGCCGAAACTCGACGACTGAAGAGATTGATGTATTTCCCATTAGCGTTTTTCAGAGGTGCTACAGCCCTTTGTGGAACACATTCATTGAACTGGAGTAAAGCTTGAGCTGTAAATTAGAGTTGGGATTAAAAATGCAAACAAAAACGCAAAGAGCACTTCTGTATTTTCCAATATGTCTTTTTTCTTTGCTCTCTACCTCCCATTTCGTATCCAAAATGCATAATAAACACATTGGAAACCCACATAAGGAATGAAAACGTTAAACTCAAAGATCTTTCACAACACCCATGAGCGATGTCATGTATTGTAATAGTCATGCCTGTTTCAGTGAGTGGTTGAACCCAAAGCAAACAGTGGAAAATGTAAAAATCGGGGCTAGCATCTGATGCCTATTTCTTTTGTGTTTGTGTGTGTGAGTAAAGAGGCCAAGGGGAAAGATGTATAAGAAAGTGCATTTACTGCGAGACAAGCAATACATTCTCTTGAATGGTACAAGAGGTTTGGGCCTCTGCAAATAAACTGTCATTTTTTACAGGCTAATGCACATCTTCGCAAGTACTTAAATGCACACACACACTTACATCTCAGGGCAATGTGTGTTCTGTATGTATGAGACATCTCATATTTCTCTTCCAGCCCTTGCATGCTAATAAACAGAAGTCATGGTGGACTGGTGGGTGGTGCGTGGTGGAGCTGCTCTATTACTGTGAAACCACAGACACCAACTGTCTTATGAATGATGGCACAGAGAAATAGGCTCTATTAAAGGCGGCAATCAAAGCTGCATGACCACTAGCAAGCATGTCACGTAGCTAATTCAATCTCACAACCCATGAAGCAATTAATTCATGTCAATACAAATAGTCTTTTTTTTTTTTTTTTTGCCCACCAGGAAAGCGTAGGTCTTACAGCTGGTGCTTGTGTTGATTGTGCCTCTGTGTGAACACGCTCAGTGAAGTGAACCTGGAAGAGCAGGTGTAATTGGGTGTGGAAAAGAAGGGAACTTCGTGGTCTCCCTGGCTAAATTAGATCAGACAATCTTCTCCTCTCTCCATTTCCTCCCTAGACAACAGGCACATTGTCCCCCATCAGGTCTGTTATTATCTCTATGATCATGCCAGACTCCACGTCGGAGGTGACGCAGATGACGGCGTAATGATTATTCTCCGAAACCAGCCTCTCTTTGATGGGGGGGGGGGGGCTTGAATCAAATTAGCCTCAGAAACAGTAAAACACACACAAGAGAAAAAAAAAAATCTCTAAAAGGGTTTGAGTGCTCTGGTGCTTGGTCGGTCAGCAGTGGCTTAGTGAATGCAGAGGATCAATGCCTCATGCGGTAAATCATTACGCCCCATTATTTCTGTAAAGGGAAACTCACCAGAGAATGCAAACCCAGATGTGTTACCACCCAGATAGCAATGACCACCGGCTAGATGAGTTTCTCACAGTCAATATCTCAATGTGGAGAGATCAGACATGCTGAAAAAAAAAAAGCATCCTTGGCTTGATGAGGCGGCTCTGGTAGACAGCAGGGGTGAAGCAAAGAGTGAGCCACATAGTGCTGTTTTGAGAAGTAAAGTGAGAAAGAAAAATAAGCAGCGTAGAGACAACGGCTTTCTGATTGAGGCTGCGAGCTGATGGAAGTGGGTTCTGGCTTCGTAGGAATAAAACCAGTCTGTATTTAAATGCCTCTGTGGCGAAGCAGAGAACCCAAAGAGCTCTCCCGCTCCATCAACCCCCATTTGTTTCCAAACCTACTATTCCCAGTCCTGTCTGGATGAGCTCCTGCTTTGTATTTTGATGAAGGAGAAGTAGAAGTCCTCCCCTTCCCTCCTCCCGTCTTTACAGCACTTCATCTCTCCTCCTGTCTCCATCCGTCTTCGCATGCCTGCGAGGTTTTCTGATATCAGCGTCTTGGATGACTGATGGTATTCAGGTGTCTGCAGCGTTTTTTGCAAGAGAAAAATAATACAGGAATTGTTCCTAAAGTGAAAATATGAATGTCCTCTTCAACATCCTATCTAAGAAACTGGCTGTTTATTTATAGATTAAAGACAAAATAATAGACAAATAAAAACCAGAGGAAATATCAGACAGTCAGACTTCTGCCTGTTGTTACACTAGAATAAAGACGGAGCCCTTTGGAGTCATTTCAATAGGCTGTTGACACACAGACATTTCCCCTGGGTGGGTACACAACTCTCAGTGCTTCTTAGTGCAACGCTACAGCACAGTGAAGTCATGTTGTTGTCAAATATGTCCCACATATGATGGGTGACACCACTTTCAATTTTGAATTAAAGGCAACAGGATCAATCACGTTAAAAACAAACTCTGCTGACACAGACGGACTTGCGGCGGTACATCATGAATGAAAGCCACGGCTGAGTGGGTCAAGGTAGAAAGTGCGTACACTCGTCCGGATTGCAATCTGTCATGCCCTGCAGATTGGCCAGGAGTAATGAGCCTTTACATTACAGTGCATAGAGAGCTGATACTGCCGGAGTGCTATTTTGCACAGTCAAATTACAGTTCGATTTTCACCTAACAAAGACTCAGCAACATTCGCCAATCGATAGGCGTCAAAATGTCCCTCGCTTCTGATAATAGATCTGACAAGCACACAAGGAAGTGCGCTCGAATCAACAAGCATATAGAATCAGCGGGTAGGGCAGAGGGGTGAGGGGAACAGGATGATGGAAAGTACAACATTATAAAACAAAAGCGAGGGGCACTTAGGTTGGTTTTTTTAGGGCTTTTTTTGGTCAACATTAAAAACACCGTTGTAATATTCTCTCGATGACGTAAGGCATTGTGGCATCTGACAAAAGTTCCCTTTTTACACCCAAGGATTGTTAGAATGTTTGTCAAAACGACAGAAACAAAATGATATTGTGCACAAATGAAGTGTGAAGAGAACCGGCGCTACAGAATTTCCCATTTCTGACATCTGTCGGGGGTAACAGATGCTCGGCTGCCTACCCGGGCTCCTCTCTGAGTCAGCCGGGCTCACCAGTAAGCCAAGGATCCGACTGGCTGTGGACATTGAGCCTGACGGTAATTGATTGCACGTAACTTGTGTGCTTCAATTAAAGAAAGTTTGTAGCTACTGAGGAATTTCAAAAAAAAAAAAAAGTTCAGACACAGAAAAGATGTGGCCATCCATATTTGTCACATCGACCCCTCTTCAAGGTCAGCTCACTGCCAGCAGGCACGGGGAGGGGGGAGGGGGAAAGGGGTAGAAAAGGAGACGGCTGACAGAGAAAGAGAGGGCCAGCCTGACAGCTCAGCTGACGGCTGGCTGAAGTAGACATTGAAGGACGGGTGAATGTAGTAGGAGTCTGGTCTGCTGGTATCAGGGGGCGTGGCCCATGGAGGGTCCAGAATCATTGTCGTCAAGGTCCCGTGGGTCTGCCCTCGGCTCTGGTAGCCTGAAAAAAAAAAAAAAAAAGGACAAAGACAAATGATACTCTTTTCCCACCAAAGTAAGTGTGTATATGTGGTTTTGTTAAAAAATAAACACTAAGACTTCAGACTCTCCTTCAAACTCAAATCAGAGCTGGTGATTGTTGAGGAAAGACGACCAAAGAAGGTTTTGATGAGTTTCACTTTGTTTCTGTTCAGTTTGAAGCGTGTTTTACAATGACCAGAGAGGTCGAATCACTGTTGCCTGACTGGAGTGTGATGGCTTTGAGGAGAGAATATTAACTGCATGTTTAGTATGTTAATAAATTATAATATTTGTGATGCGTGTAAGGGGTGATAATTAGCCTGTTCACCTGGGTGTCATGGTTCCATCACTGCCACTCAGAGCTGCAGAAGATAAAAACCTGCTAATACCGACTATGTCGAGTCATTTGTCCTGGCAATGAATGCCGATTGTAACCTTTCCCACTAAAGACAAACTCCACATGTTTAGATGAGCTTTAGCTGACTGAAAGTCCTCCAACTCTCCTCTCTTTCACCAACAAACACCCTCTCACCATGCACACACATTATGGAAATATAATACAACTTTGTGAAACGTAATCAGCTTCAATCAAGCTACGCCTTAAGTAGAAATCATCCATTATGTCAGTTTTATATTAGCAGCTCTGCGGTGACAGAGACAAAGTGATAGCTAAATTGCAGAGACCTGCAGCAATCCGAGCCTGGCTGATAGATTCAATTTCACTGGAGACAGTCGACACTAATCATATGCTCTAATTGGACAATGTCGTAAGAGTGATGGCACTCTGCTCCTCCCCGAGATGTAACTTCTCTCATTCCACCGTCCCTCCATCTTTTTTATTATGATTTTCCCCCCATACGTCTGTGGTACATCCATTTTCAAAAACAATGTGTCAGCATGTTTTTTCCAAACACACACTTACCGTATGGGGATGCTGTTTAAGTCATTGAAATTCATTTCCCTTTAGAGCGATGTCATCTAATTCCACCGCTCAAATGTTTCCTTTAAAACAATCGCTTCCCGTGACCTTGGACAGCTGGTTTGTATTTAGATTTGCAAAATGTACCGTCATCTATCGCAGCAAGAATCAACTAATATTGTTCCGCTCAAATCTGTGGTGTCATACCGTTGTGGTACCGTTTTAAAAAGGGGCACAAAGTGGAGTAGAAGTTAAAGTGAACTGCTCTGGCAGCTTGGTTTAGAATCGCTACAACTGGGAAGTTCAATGTCAGAACTGACATCATTGTTACAAAAATTAATCTGCATTTGGATGCAAAACAAAAAGGAAAAAGGCGCGCCGTCATCCGTCAGTTAAGCAGCTAATCAGCATGTAACCGCAGTGCAGATGCTTTGCGCTTCATGCCCAGTAAAGCAACAGGTTATTTACATATCAAGCAATATTAACGCTCACATAAATGGGCGTCACAACACAGGAAGTGAAACTTAATCAAAAAACATGCTAATGCCTCGACTTACTGTAGCAGCAGCAAGACGACAGTTAGCGGTACAGTATACTCAATGTGTTTGTGAGTGAAATGTTTATCAGTGTTAGTTTAATGTGCAGTGTACAGAGCTCGGGATGGAAAAGACTCTCCAGTCAAAAGTCAAAAGTATTTCCTCCCATGCTGTGTGCAGCACAATATTTGAGGAAAAAAAAAATCTTCACGCACGTGGGTTAATAGGCTGCGATCTTTCAAAATGCGCTGCTCCCCGAGTACTCCTGCCTGACATACTTCTGTTGGCAAAAACAAAGAGCTGCTTCCTTTCCCTTCCTGCACCTCCTTGAGGAGCGCAGCATCACAACACAAAGTCACAACAAGGCACGCTCATCAAAGAGCAGCCACTGATAACAGCACACATAAATGCACGCTAGCACACGCTTGCGCAGCTTGAAGCAGTCGTAAAACATTTTGATGAACTGTTGGCCTTTCAAAACTCCATGGATTGACTCCAAAATGCCTTGTGGTGAAGCTATAGACAACACTTTTAGGTTTTAACAAACGCACACATACAAGCACACTCTGGCATCAAGCGCCAACTTACCGACTGCCAAAAGAAATGATGATGTGTATACACACACACACACACACACACACACACACACACACACACACAGGATAAACTGCTGTATAGTTATACCATCTCTATACATCTGAGACATTAATAATTCAAAAGTGCTGCTCCCATTCAAAGTCTTGGCACAGTTACCACTCTGTACTTTCTGTAACACACTCTTTTTTTTACCCAGTATTCAGATTGTCTACAGGCTGTTCACAGGTTATTGTTAGCACAACACATACAAGTCTGCATCGAGCTCTCTCACGGCTCCCTCCTGTCTCACATGGTGTTTGGGGCAAAACGTTGGCAGACTTATTTGTGTAAGGCAATTTCATCTTGCATCTACAGTCAACCAAAACAATCACCCCCTGCTCTTTGTAAAAAAAAAAAAAAAAAAAAAATTTAAAAAAATAAAATGTAATTACAAATATATTTATATGTCACAAAGCGAGGCCTCTACTATGGAGGCAAATGAACTATTTATATTCAAACGGTCCTTGCTAAGCCTTAGGACACATGGATATAATAACTTTTTTATTCCACCCGCAGGAAAAAAGGCCAGTACGAGAGAGAGAGAGAGAGAGAGAAATAAAGAGAGAGAAAGAGAGAGAGAGAGATTGGGGTTGTTGGGGGTGAAAGACAGAGTGGAGCTTCAACGTGCAACAGAATGTCAGTGGGTGGGTGATAAATTCCCTACAACTTAAAGCCCTTGCTTTGTTCTCTTTTTCTGTCTGTTCATCTTCGCTGGCCTAAGTACAAGATCACTTTGCAGTGTGTGTGTGTGTGTGTGTGGGTGGGTGGGTGCGCCCTGACGACTGGGTTCTTTCCGCCCATGACTTATTCATACGCTTTAATGCAGTCGATGTATTATTGATTGGGGCCGATCATTGCCTCCTCCCCTTGGTGTGACCATGTCTTGCGGACAGGGGTGAGCTGAGGGGCTCAGATGCTGTAGCACACCCTGGCTGCGCCTTGTGGTTGACGGATGGACAACAGCCTTGTCGTGCGTAAATTTGGAAGACTGTGTGTGTGTGTGAAAGAGATAAGGTTTTAAGATAGGACCGAGAGACTAGAACAAAGCTAATCTTACTAATGTCCCCTTTCAGAGTGAAACAGAAAAAAGTTTCTCCAGCAGCTCTAAAATGAGCCCATCACTCATGGGAGAAAACCTCCGGCTCCCTGTGAGGAAAACAGAGGGCGGGAGCGTGCAGGATGCTGCCTCGACTTTGACTTTTGTCTCCCTCACTCTATTCCCGTTTTGGCCTCGACCCGTGCGGCTCTCTGGGAGACAGGAGGAGGGAGGGGTCCCTGCCCCTGATTACGTTTGAATTCCCTGCTCTTGGCAGAGAAGCTGCAGAGAAGCTGCAGGACTCCTAAGTCATCATCCGGAAACACTCCCATCACGCCGTGGCAGCCTTGCCAAATTGATCCGGCCTCATTGCCATATGAATAATCATACTGCAGTAGCTTGGATATGCTGAATGGGTTTCAGATGTGTGTGTGTGTGTGTGTGTGTGTGTGTGTATACAAAAAATGGAGAGAGGGGAAGAGCTGAAGAGCAAACTGGGGGTTTCTGCGAAGAAAGTGAGGTTCTTCTTGATTAAGCAAAGACGTTGCGTGAGAATGAGGCTGTGTACATAGTGCTGGTGGCAATCATCCTCAGGTGAAAGTAACTATTGCCATTTACATTTCCAAACAGAGGCGATGCCATCAAAGGCACATTTCTCCGGCCCTGGAGACCTATGAGGTTTGGTTTAATGAGAGAGGATACGTAATGATACTGATAGAGCCCACGAGCACTCTTCCCCTTTCCCTTCAGTGAAGCAGTGCACTCTGCCACTACTTCATGAAGTAAATCCTGTCACTTCTGCAGGATGATTTAACACTATAAACAGCTTTACGACACGAGATGACTGCGATATGGAAGAAATAGATCAAATGACGGAGTAAAAGAGAAAGTAAAAGGGTCGTAGAGCATTAATGACGAGAGAAAGGGAAAGTGAAGATAAAAAAACAGCTGGTTGGCTATCTAATGTAAAAAAAAAAGAAGAAAAGACGTACTGCTATTACGAGCACTTTACCGTTGATGCGCTAATGCTCTGCTGGATCTAACTGGCCATTGTCCTGGAAAGGTTTACATCTGCCATCTTGTCTGCCAACTTCCCCTCCCCACCTCTATGGATTTATGCTCTTTCATCTGACAGCGCTGTCGAGGGGAGTGTAATGTAGAAATAACCCGTGCACACACCTTTCATTAGGAGCAGCCCTGTGATCTTCCCAACACTTTGCACTGCGATGATCCTGCCAGCTGGGATTTGAGATACGGATGTCTCCTAATGAGAGGACATGAGATGGGAAAACCGAGGAGAAGAAAGCGGTGACATGGAGAGGCGGGGTTAGACTTTAGGAAGGAAAAAGGAAGTTTATCAGAGCTTCCAGGAAGCTAAAGATCAGAGAACAGAGGGAGGGGAGCGAGAATGTTGACAGGAAATGACAGCTTGTGGCTGAGACAAAAAAAGGACAGCGCTGATGTGCGGGAGTGTGGGAGCCATGACTAATGCATTTTTCAGGACTTTCTAATTAAAGCTCCATTGTCACAAATTGCTCGGGCCATGATCACATAAGGTGCTCTGCTACAAAGAGCACGATGAGAGCGCTGCCAGGGACACAGTCATCAACAGTCTTGTTAATTTGCGGCTCCAAGTTTAAGAACTTTCAACTCCTGAGATTAGGCGCAGCTACTTCACAAAAGGAGGCAATGTCGGGCTGTCACCAGCGACTGCAACTCGGTAAATTACACTGTAGAAAAAAATGCATCAAATTACAAACTAATTTCCTTTGTGAGTATATCTGCACAAAAAGCAAAACAAAAGAACTTTTGTTCATTGCTGATAATTGAATCTTCTGTAAAAAAAACAAAAA